GGGGGGGGGGGGCCAGGAGGTACATTTATTACGACCACTGGTGTCCTGTTTCCCATTAAAAAGGTCCCTCCTCTAGTCTGTCTTGAAGCCAGGAAGGTGTTGGCTCAGGATTATTCCAAGTTAAGTTTCCTTGGAGATGCATTTTTAAAAGAGCTGAGGTTCTAGACATTGGGTCCCTTTGGAACCAGCTGACACACGCCTTTTCGGTTGTATGTATGGCTGTGTGTGCCCAACAGTGCCCTGCAGGTCGGCCCAGGGAGGCAAGAGCAAAGGCTGGGATGAGACCAGCCCCTGGCCCCAGCTACCCCTTCCTCCTCGATGAGCTCCGGGGGCAGCACTGGCTTTTCTGAATAGAGTGACAGAGCGCTAATGGAGTGGCAGGTGACTGACCCTCTGTCATCTGCCAGGCTAATCAAGACAAGCCCAGAACTGGCCGAGTCCTGCACGTGGTTCCCTGAGTCCTATGTGATTTACCCCACTAATCTCAAGACCCCAGCTGCGCCCCCGCAGAATGGAGTCCACCCACCTATCCAAAACTCGAGGACGGACGAAAGGGAATTCTTCCTGGCTTCTTATAACAAAAAGAAGGAAGGTGGAGAAGGCAATGTTTGGATTGCAAAGTCATCCGCCGGTGCCAAAGGTGAGTCGGCACTGCCACCCCCTCTCCTGTCCCCGAGGCTCCCGATGCTCTGTGCAGTCTTGCGCTAGGTGTTAATGATGTATTTAGATGAGTGGCTCTTGTAATCCAAATCCTTGAGGGTAGATAGCACATCTGGTTACACAGTCTTAAATATTTATCTATGTACTGGTGACTTCTGCATGTACCTCTCCATACGTGTACATCTCCATGCATGTACCTTTCCATACGTGTACATCTCCATGCATGTACCTTTCCATACGTGTACATCTCCATGCATGTACATCTCCATACGTGTGCATCTCCATATGTGTACATCTCCACCTGTACATCTCCAGAGAGGTCTTTCTTTGTAGGCTCCAGATCCAGTTGCACATTCTTGGGCATTTTTCCCAGAGAAAAGAAAACATGTCCACACAAAACCTGTATGTGATTGTCCACAGCAGCTTTATTCATAATAGCCCCAAACTGGAAACAATCAAAAGGTGATTGATTAAGCAAACTTTGGCGAATCAATCCCACAGGATACTACTCAGCAATAGAAGGGAATGGACTGTTGTTAAGAGCAGCAACTTGGATGAATCTCCAGGGAATTATGCTGTGTGAGAAAAACCAATCCTCAAAGATCATATAGAGTATGGTTCTATTTATAAACATTTCTGGAATGACAAAACTATAGAAATGGAGAACAGATTAGTGGTTGTCAGGAGGGTGGTATAGAGAGGGAGGCTTTATAAGAGCAACATAAGGCATCTATGCATTAATGGGAGAAGATACTTGCAAATCATGTCTCTTATAAGGCACCTGCATCCAGAATAGAGAACTCTTATAACTCAATATTAGAAGGACAACCCAATTAAGAAGTGAGCAAAGAATCTGAATAGAAAAGAACCTGGATAGAAATTTCTCCAAAGAAGACATACAAATAAGACAGCCAATAAGCACATGAAAACATGCTCAACATTATTAGTCGTTAGGAAAATGCAAATCAAAACCACAGTGAGATACCACTTCGCACCACTAAGACGGCTATAATCACAGAGAGAATAGCAAGTGTTGGCAAGAATGTGAAAAAAATTGGAACTCTCATATACTGGGCTGTTAAAAAGGATATTGTATCATTTGTTTAATGTTGATGGACACTTTGAATGCAGCCATTCTTTTCTGTTACCAAGCTGCAGGGAACCCACTTGCACTTTTGTATCTGTGCCCTAACCTTCCTGGTGTTTCCAGAAGATACGGTGTTAGAAGTGGTCACAGGCAGTACATGGTCTTTATCATGGCAGCCAGTGATCAACAGGAGAGCTGCTTAGACGTTCAGAGTGTCGTTAAAAAGGAAACGTCACGGTTGGAGCTGGCCCAGACAGTGTTTACAGCCCTCTGTGGAGAAAAAGCTGAATGACCCTGGCGCTTGGGTGGGTGGAGGGGAGAGAGGGTGAAAGACTGGAAGAGGGAAGGGTGGAGAAAGAAGGGCGAGCTGGGGCTCAGAGCCCCCTGTCTGTGTTTTCCTGCTGTCACTGTTTCCTCTTGGGATGAAATGCACTGATTTTCGTTGCACTTTTGCCTCTAGGCGAAGGCATCCTGATCTCCTCCGACGCCGCGGAGCTGCTGGATTTCATAGACAGCCAGGGCCAGGTGCATGTCATCCAGAAATACCTCGAGCGCCCTCTGCTGCTGGAGCCGGGCCATCGCAAGTTCGACATTCGGTAACGTGTCCCTGTTTCTGTCCCTCACCTGAAGGAATTGCAGTGGCCGGTGGGGAGGAGGGAGACCTGGGATGTGAAGAAGTGCTCGACTCTGTTTAATATGTTACCAAATTTGAGCACTGCTGAGTGGAACTGAGCTTCTGTATCTAATTCTCTATTTTTCTTTCAATATTTTTCTTTCTAAAAAATGATGCTAAGATTATGGATTTTTTGTTTGTTTATTATTTCCTTTATTGAAAACGACTTGTGGATCCAAGAGGAAGGGTATAAATATATGGACCTTACCCTGGCCGGCGTGGCTCAGTTGGTTGAGTGTCATCCCATGCACGGAAAGATCGTGGGTTCGATTCCCGGTCAGGGCACATGTCTAGGTGGAGGGTTTGGTCCCTGGTTGAGGCACATACAAGAAGAGGCAACCAACCAGTGTTTCTCACATTGATGTTTCTCTCTCTCTCCCTCCCCCCACCTCTCTCTAAAATCAATAAACACATCCTCGGGTGAGGATTGTAAAATAATAATAAATAAATTAAATGAGCCTTACCGTGCAAGGAGCAGAGAGATATATGTGGAACACGGAATTCAGACACAACAGATCTGACAGATAGTAGGTCCCGACCTTACTTGTGTCCCACTTTTTAAGGCTTTCATGCACACACCTCAGGGTTTTGGGCTTTCACTTTCTGAGCAAAGGGCCTGGCGAGGAGAGGAGAGGCGGGGCTTTCTAAAGCTGAACGGCCCTCGGCCCAGCCTGCCCCTGGCCTTGCTGTTGGCTCCTCCAAAAGGAGCTGTCTTTATGTCAGATCAGGTATCCTAGGTCGGATCGGCTTCAGGATGAACAGCCTCCCTCTTAAAATTACTTAAAATTCCCCAACATGGCAAATGGAGGTTTCATAGATTCCCCTTTAAAACAAATTATCAAATCTCTTCAAAATGCTGTGTCTTTTGAATGGATGGAAGTCTCCTTGTCATGGGTGGTGAAACGTTTGGTGCTAGCCCACCGTCTCGGCTGACAGCCGTGGCTTGCCTTGCGTGATTCAGAACCTACCTTCTTCCTCCCCTTCCTGCGAAAAAGATCGAGGTGTGGGGATTATATAGATGCCTGATGTGAAGGGACTTTGGAGGACTCGAGTGACTGTTCTTGTCGACTTGCAGAAGCTGGGTCCTGGTGGATCACCAGTACAATATCTACCTCTACCGAGAGGGCGTGCTGCGGACTGCCTCCGAGCCGTATCATGTTGATAATTTCCAAGACAAAACCTGCCATCTGACCAATCACTGCATTCAAAAGGAATATTCGAAGAACTATGGGAAGTATGAAGAAGGGAATGAGATGTTCTTTGAGGAGTTCAACCAGTACCTGGCCAGCGCTTTGAACATTACCCTGGAGAACAGCATCTTGCTGCAGATCAAACATATCATAAGGTAACGCAACTGTGTCTTTTTGGTTACATGTGACTTGAAGAAGCTTTGGGAGTTGGTCCCTTTGAAGGAATTATTCCATTTAAGTTGTCTAATGAAGACAAAAAATTATTTGTCATATCTCTTCTTTATTCTTTTAATATTTGTAGGCTCTCTAGTGATGTCACTGCTTGCGTTCCTCACATTGGTAATTTAATCTTCTCTCTGTTTTTCTTGGATGGATTGGCTAAAGGTTTATCAATTTTATTAATCATTTCAAAAACCAGGCTTTTTGGCTTGATTGGTTTTCTCTATGTTTTGAATTTTTAAATTTTTTAAAATTTATGCTATTTATTATTTCCTTCTGCTTTTTTGGGGGGGGTGGTGTTTAATTTGTTTTTTTCCTAGTTTCCTTGTGAAAGGTTAGATCATTGACTTGAGAAACTTTACTTTTCAAAAATAGAAGCATTGTTAGGAGCATATACATTTAGAATTGTTGTCTCTTTTTGGGAAATTGACCACTGTGTCATTACGTAGCATCAGTCTTTATCTCTGGTAGCGTTTCTTATTTTGAAGTTTTTTTTATATTAATGTAGGCACTCCAGCTTCCTTTTGGTTCGTGGTATTTTTCTTTCCAATTTCTTTTCTATCTATTCTAGTGGGCTCTGGTGCACAACACAGAGTTGGGTTGGGTTTTGTTTTGAATCCAATATTATAACATCTGTCTTTTCATTGGTGTGCTCATACCATTTAAATTCACTGTAACTATTGGTGTGGTTGGATTTATATCTACCATTTTATTATTTGGTCTATCTGTTCCCTCTTTTTTTTGGTTTTTATTTGCTTTCATGTCTCTATTTCCTGACCTCTTTAGAATTATTTGAATATTTTTAGAGTTCTATTTTAATTTTCCCATTGAGTATATTTGGCTATATCTATATCTATCTCTTTATCTATATTTTAGTGGTGATTCTAGGGATTAAAAAATATATGTACCTAATATTTCACAGTCTTCTTAGAGTTAATAGCTCACCACTTCAAATAACATGCAGACATCTTATGTTCTTACAGTTCACTCGACTCTCCCTCTCTACGGTATGGTTGTCATGTGTGTTACATCCGCGTACCCTGAAATCTCTACCATATAGTGTTATAAGTTTTGGTATCAACCATTATATGCATTTCCTTATGTAGATCGTTGGATTTTTTAAAAAATACAAGGCCAAACTGTAGGCTGTCTACAAGAAACACATTTAAATATAAAATAAGAAAAAAAATTCTTTTTTTATTTACCCAGATATTTGCCTTTTTTTTTTTTTTTGCTCTTTTTTTAGTCCTGGGGTTCCACATCTCTCTCTGGTATCATTTCCCTTCAGATGTTGTCATTTCTTTTAGAGCAGTTTCTGCTGGTGATAAGTCCTCTTAATTTCCCGTCACCTGAAAATATCTTTATTTCATCTTACTCCTGAAGGGTGTTTTCACTGGAGTTAAACACAATGTCAAGCACAAAAGTCAAAAACCAAAAGCCGTATACAAGATGCATACAGATTGCTTCCATCTCTATAAACTGAAAGACAAGCAAAGCTCAGTAATACATTATTTGGAAGAAAGTATGCGTGTCCTAAAAATAAAGAGAGAAACAAAGGGCGATAAACACAAAATTCAAAGGAGTGGTCATCTCCAGAGAAAGGGCAGGGGGGCCTCGGGGAGGAGGCCTGAAAGTACTGGGCGTGGGCACGTGGGCGGTCATTGATGCTCCATGTATTTTAAACTCATTTTTATGCGTATGTACCGTTAATATTCATTTATATAAGGTGCACCAAAAACTGTATACACACACTTTGAATAATTACACAGGCAGTGTTTATTAAAATACATTTTATTTTTAAAATTGAGCTATCAGCTGTTACAGTGTGTTTTATGTTTTTTGGGGACACCCTGAATACATTTCTTAACACTTCACGTTGCTTCTCTATCATGTATAGTCTTGCTTTTGTCTGGGGTAATTTTTCTTATCCTTAAAAAACTCATTTTTAGTGCTTCTTAAAAAAGTAAGGTCTGCTGCTGCAGATTTATCTCAGTTTTTATTTATCCAATAATATATTTATTTTATCTTCATTCTTAAAGGACATTCGCTCTGGAAACAGATTTCTAGATCAGCAGTTGCTGTTTTTTAGCACTTTGAAGGTGGCATCCCCATTGTCTTCTGGTTTCCATCTTTTCTGTTGAGATGTCAGCTGAAATCTTAGTGTTGCTTTTAATGATTCTTTTCTCTGTTTTTAAGATTCATTTTTGTGGACTTTATAAATTTTATTATGAAATGTGTGTTGTTTTCTTCCTACACTTTCCTGCATAGTTTCCTTCATGCTTCTTGAATCTTGGACTAGTCATTGTCATTATCTTTTCAANTTCCTACACTTTCCTGCATAGTTTCCTTCATGCTTCTTGAATCTTGGACTAGTCATGGTCATTATCTTTTCAGTTACAGCTTTTGTCTCATTTTTCTTTCCTTCTGCATCTCTAATTACTTGGATGTTTGTCCGTTTCACTGTGTCTCACATTTCTCCTTTGGTTTTTGTGTATCATTTTATCTCTTTCTTCAGCTATTAAAACCTGTCTTACAAGTTTAAAAAGTAAGAAGTTAAAAGCTGTTGAGGCTGCTGTCAAACTCGTCTATCCAGTTCTTGATTTTAGTTACGCTTTTCAGCTCTAAGATTTCCATGTGGCTCTTATTTTTAGATGACCATTCTCATTTGAAATTCTCCCACTTGCTTATATTTTCTTGAACACAGTAATGACAATTCTTTAACGCCATTGTCTGACGACTCCAAAATCTGGATTACCTATGGGCCAAATCTCGCCTGTAGGTTTTAAAATTTTTAAAGGATGTAAAATAAAAACAGAAGAATCTGCAACAGAGACTGTATATATCTCACAAAACCTAAAATAATTTCTGTTTGGTCCTATGTAGAAAAATTTTACCAACCCCTGACTTACAGATTTGCTACCCATTGTCTGTTTTATCTCTTGGACATATTTCTTAATANTACCAACCCCTGACTTACAGATTTGCTACCCATTGTCTGTTTTATCTCTTGGACATATTTCTTGCCCGGAAATAATTTTTTAATGTTACCATTCATTTATTATAACTTGCTAACTCGAGTAGAGATTTTTTTTTGAGGTATAACATGCATACAGTAAAGTCCACAAATCTTCCATGTACAGCATAGTGAAACTTCAGTGATGCACACACTCACTTAGTCATAATACAAATCAGAACATAACACATTTAGAGCACCCCAGAAGACTCCCCGAACCACCTAAAAATATGCCCTCCCTGGCAGAGCTAGCTACCCTTTTATCACTGTAGATGCCTTTGCTTGTTCTTAAACTTTATGGAAGTGTTTTATTTATTGTCAACAAAATGTAGCAGCAGCCGTCCGGTGGGAGGGCCCCCCTTTCCAGGGGCAAGCAGCCTCTGCTGGTAAAGACGTGCGCAGTTGCAGAGTCTTCCAACGCGTTGCTTGATGAGTGGCATGGTCGCGGATATTGGCAGTGACTTTAAAGGACAGAATTAAGTCAAAGCCTGCTCGTGTCAGCGCACGGGTCCCTCTGTGCCCCTTCCCCACGAGCGCCCCTCTGCCCCGCAGGAGCTGCCTCATGAGCGTGGAGCCCGCCATCAGCACCCGGCACCTCCCCTACCAGAGCTTCCAGCTGTTCGGCTTCGACTTCATGGTGGACGAAGAGCTGAAGGTCTGGCTCATCGAGGTCAACGGCGCCCCCGCCTGTGCTCAGTAAGCCTCACCGCTGGGTGGTAACCGGTCGAAGTTGGTCCCGCAGTTGGAATGGCCTCGGCAGGGTGTGGCCCTCGACCGCTGCCAGGAGGGAGGGACAGGCAGGGGTCCCGCGGGCAGGGCCTTTGCTGGGGCGTTTCCTTCCCCGTCTCCCCCGTGTGCGTTGAGTGGTCAGACTGCTCAACAGGGGGGTCGGTCGCCGCTGTGAGAGTTTCAGACACAGCTAGCAGGTGCCAGAGGAGGGTCTCCTCCTGTGTGACAAGCTGAGTTAGCAGAGTCCTGGGGTGGGGGGGGATAGCGATGGCCCAGAAGTCGGGGCTCCTCGGGCAGGAAGTGGCCTGAGGAGTATCAGAGATGCGGAGGAGCTGGACCTGGGACGTGAGAGGAGTGCGACGTGCCCGGGGAGGCGGGAGAGCCTGCAGGGAGGGGACACGGCATCCGGCGGCACCTTGCTCATTGCCGGGCTCGGGGAGGGACACGGGTGAGCAGAACCTGCGCTCCCCCGGGAGCCCCCGTTCCTCCTGGGGGAAGCCGGGCTGCAGCGTGGCGCGAGGGGTGACCAGGGGAACGGGTCGGGACTGCGCCGGGGGAGGCCGCACACGCGAGGGAAAGCCGTGTGGACTTGGTCCTGAAGGGCTGCAGAGTCTCCTGAGAGCCACTGTCCTCTTTTTCTCCATGTCCGCATGCTGGAGAAACCGGTCTTCCAGAGGGTTGGGGGGCGGTCACGTAAAGATGAGTGTCCTCAGGGAGGCCCGTGGGGGGGGAGAGACAGACAGACAGACGCTGCCGGGTTAATTACTGTATGAATCCTGTTGTTACAAGCCTGTAATAGAAAATAAATAGGTTCTGTCCTTTAGGGGCACGATCTTGAGAGGGGAGGACTTCTGGTCTGGGGGAGGGGGAGCTTCCCGTGGGGAGGCCTGGAAGCCACAGGGACCCAGGCCGCACTGAGAGGCGGGGCAGGTGACGCATTGCAGTGACCCCCGTCCGTGCCTCACAGGCCTCCTGTCGCTGTTCCTTACAGGTGGGAGGTTGAGTGGTTTGGAAGGTAGACTCTCATGGCGGTAGAGAGGGATGGGGGGGGCTGGGGGGCTA